GTTACCCATCGCATGATCGTACAGGAGCACCCTGTACATTTGTTGATTCCTTTACCTTGGGACACAAAAGCAGCCAACATAAATCTGCTGTATCCATTTCAATATTTGGGATCTTTACATTTGTTTCTACTTCAATCTGGCTTTTATTTCCTAGCTCTTTGCTTGGCAACACTTCACTTTTTGCTTTTGATCTCGAGCGTTCGCCAAAGTGAGGTTGATAATAGCTTCTACTCCAAGGCCGGGACATACCATAGTCCTTAAAAGTGGTACTAGTTCTTTCCTGCTTAACGTTTAGCATTTTGGTAAGTTGCCACAACTTGTTCACTCGTGGGCTGTATAATGTGTGACCGGGTGGAATACTGTACACGGTGCCTTCGCCATAGAGATAGCACTATAGAGTTGGAACCAAATCACGAGGAGGCAATTTCACAACATACCCTGTAAACTTATTCTTTAAGCTCATAGAAGCGATTTACGTTACTCCTTCCCCCTATTTTTTAATGATATATACTTATTTGTTTACCATATTTAGCATATTTAACGCCTGGTATAAAATGCTCTGCTATTAAACTTGTTTTTAAATATTAAATGGATCAAAAGAGAATTTGTATCTCCAAAATTGGAGATACGTGTTGGTTGTTTGTGTCCATTTATTATCTGTGTTCTTTTTGGGGTCAAAAATCGAAAGTGCTTCAGTTAAACTATTTACTTTTCCACTTTGTTGCATATTATTTTCTTCATATTGAACATGATCAAGTTTTACATAAAAAATGAACTTGCAACAATTGAACATGGCTATACATGAACTATTTAGGTGACGCCTTTCGAGAAGCGCAAGAAATACACATTTCCAAGTTGCCCCCGATTTGGTCAAGTTCTTGCAAAAAATATTCTACAAACAACAGGTATTTTGACATTTTTTTCAGATGCGTGCTTATCATAATTTGTTAAATATTATATAACCCTATCCACTAGATCACAACGAGACTTGAACGTGTTTTAAACCTCACAAAAGTACATAGTTACAAAGCTTTAACCAAGTTTCACTGAATCATTGAACCGTTTCTTTTCCTAAAAGCGATGCTTTAGCGGATGTGTCAATATACTGGGTGTGTATAAACATACTTTGGCATGGCAATTTTAAGAAGAAATTGCATAGCGGATTCCCGAACATCTGTGAGACATCCAATCTTGAATACATTTGTTAATTTCGTTCGTTATCAATCATTATTATAATAATAAGGATTAAAAATCTTCTTCATTTCAAAACGAGTAAAGCTTGTTTTGATATTTTATGAAATAAACGTAGCCGTTAGCAGTATGGCAGACTATGTCTACTCCTTTCTTTATACCGCTGGCTATATCTTCTCATTGTTGAGGAATCTTTATTGGATTTATCTTTACTTCGATCATCTACTATCCGTGATACCTGCATTGTTCAAGCTGTCTGCCATCCCAAATGATCAAAACATGACGATGTCGGACGAACCTCGGATTTGTCGGATACCATGTATTCCTCGAACTATTGACCTGAATCGAACGAGCTCGAGTTAGTGGGGTTTTAACAATAAACAGCATTAACAATGACAAACCAATAGGAATTATAAATGTGTTCGTTACACCCTGTAAATCAATCGAGTGTAGTGATTCTTGATCTAGATGTGTGAACATTTTTTTCAAATGTATATTAGGTTAACGGCAAAATAAAACCAATGCGTCTTTTGATTTCAAAAGATATTTGATTTTCACCATGTTATGTTCTGAATGGCGTTAATAAAATTAACACAAAATATTAGTGGGGTTTTAACAATAAACAGCATTAACAATGACAAACCAATAGGAATTATAAATGTGTTCGTTACACCCTGTAAATCAGATCAAGTCTAGTGATTCTTGATCTAGATGTGTGAACATTTTTTTCAAATGTATATTAGGTTAACGGCAAAATAAAACCAATGCGTCTTTTGATTTCAAAAGATATTTGATTTTCACCATGTTATGTTCTGAATGGCGTTAATAAAATTAACACAAAATATTGTACGATTTCAATTTCTTTGAACTCATAAGAAGGACATGTATTATGCGCTTCATGAAACTACCATTTTTTTCGCAATTGATCGTAACAGTTCAGATACACATGTTATATGAACGTGACGATAGCACATACACATCATATTATTGCCGCATGATCGCAAACGTTCTACGTAAAATTAATCAAGCATGACACATACGTTATCAGAACGAAGGAACTCATTTGTTATAAGCCAGTGTTGGTTAGTTATGAGAGGAGAGTGTTTTTATAACACCAACGGAATTCATCTTACAACGGTATTACTATACGCTTCAAATTTTTCAGAATCAGCCGAAGGTAAGTTATCGATAAGTTGATTTCTATGTTTATTCAAATACTGATAAAAGTACCATCTAATGGACAGGCGTAAAATTACAAACTGCAGAATATGACGACGTTTTTAATCCAAGACAAAAGAACAGTAAATTATATTCATCCATTTCAACACGGTTTCGCTTGTGCACTTAATCAAGTCCCAGCCGCAAAGGAAGATAATTAGGCTGCACATTTATATTTCAGTGATTTTGCATCAGTTACAGAGATTCGATTTTTGTTTTGACGTTTAATTGATAAGGAATCTGTACAGTTTCTGGGGTTTTTTCGACCACAGGATTTTTTAAAAGAAAGACATGAAACTGCAATCTTTGAAAATTTTGAAAATAAAACGCAAACAGACTTGCACTAGTTCACCATGGCTTTATTGTTTGTGTGGATAGTTTTAGTATTTTATACACACGGACTTTCGGCATACTCCTTTGCACGTGTACTTCGCGTCTTCGCGGCAGAGTACGCAAATGGTATTTGATGTAATTAATTGATTTGTTTATTCTAATGACATTTAGTTCTGTGCACTTTTTATCGTTAATAGGAACTTTGTTTTTATGCATGTCTCTATCATGTCGGAAAAAACGACGGCTACATGTGCCAATGGAAAGTAAAGGTTTACTCCTTAAACGTAACTGCCAACGCTCGACATTAGGAACTACATTCATGCACAATGTACCATGTGGTCCGTCTGCACCCCAGGGACAACGCCTAGTTGGGGAATTTTCGTCATAACTTGAAAATACTAAATATCGCCACCATTTGACCATGTATGAACATATACAAATGGTGAGAGAAATGCATCGATTCTGCCTGGATTGGGTTTTGTGTAGATTTGTCCCCATCCCATCCCATAATAACAAATCATGTAGAGATTAATACACTTATTCTTTATGATACGTAAACGATTAACATCCCTACCATTTGATAATTGAAATGCACGCATAATATTGTTATTGCCTAACGGTTATTGCACATCCAAGCTCGCAAGCTATAGAATATTGAATAGTCTATCCGATAAACATATATTCATGGTTAGGTATAATCAGTCGTCAAACACACTCATGGCATAATGACTGCCTTGGGATCCCTCATAGCCCGTGGGGACTTAAGTTACTTGATCATGACATGGCAGGTTGTTGTCCCTGCAAATTGGAATATGTGGTTTGGTTGACATCTAAAATACATTACAACTAGGTTGTATTTGAAGTTTTTTTTATATATATTTCATATAGATATTGTTCCGTTATATAAATAGGCAATTGTTATGCATCCATGTATATGTAACTTGACTGTGGGTACTAATTTGAGCAGTTCTTTTTTCTAATCCTTCTTCATAGCCGTTCACCCCTACCCAATTATTTGGTTTGGAATCCATCATGCAACTATACCGGATACAGTGCAATCCGTTGTCTGTCTCTAACCTTCTAATATTATCTTAATATAGTAAAGTGATTATAGCAACCAGAAAGACAATCAGGAATTATCCTCTTTGTGTTTAAATATTCAATATTTAATATTAATATGAATAGGTTATATATGACAATAGAGAAAACCTCATTTCCCAAATGATAATGATAGATCGATTTATATCTGGCATCGAAGTGATTAATAATCTTGTATACAGACAAACTATTATATGATCATATTTTTCCTACAATTCAGAATAAGACCCACACTGTAAGCGACCTTTACAAATCACACACAGCTAACGTGTTTGTTGTATTTTATCTGGAATTACAATAATCAGGTTGAGTCGTTGTATATTCCTGCATACGGTATGGGTGTTTTGTCATGTTAACTACTCTCCGATGTCCTTTGCCGTTGTAAACTCTGGGTGAAGTTTCAGTTTTACTACAACCCTGGCTTTTTGTTAATTATACATTTGTCAAACCTGTGTTTTGTCATAATCAATTTCACTATGAGTACAGTATGTACGTTATATCGTTAACTACTGCTGTTCTAATTGTTTATATCACCTTTGGAGCGAAACTCGAAAGGCTACAGACCAATTCTTACTGCACATTTAAATATAAACATTTTTTTCTCCTCATTTGACAGATATTCTACATAACTGTTTGGGGAAGATTATTCTGTCTGACTCTAGGGCGAAAACGCGATAATTCCATTGTCATAATTGCTTGGTGTCAGTTGCTGCGGGATTTCCGAGTTTGATTTATATAAAGAGCACTTCGTCATGTCTGCTACAACCGGTCTCAACCAGTTTGTAATCAAACTTTCTAAAACTTTCTTATAAGAGTCAAGTGATAAACACAACCAGAAAAGTATGCAGACAATCATAAATTATCCTCTTTGTGTTTTAATATTTAATATTTAATACTAATATAAATAGTTAATGTATGGAAAAAGAGAAAACTGAATTTCTCAAAGGACAATTCCAGATATATTTTTGTCTGGCATTGAAGTGATGAATAATCCTGTATACAAACAAACTATTACAAGATCATGTTTGTCCTACATGCGGGTATGGGTGGTTCACTCAGAATAAGAAAACACTTTAAGCGACCTTCAGAAATCACGCATAGCTAACGTGTTTGTTTCATTGTATATGGTTTACTTCCTGGTACATGATCTGTAATTGGGACAAACTTTCGTCTGCTCGAGCAGCGCACAGGGGTCAGGAAATGGCTATTTAAATCTCAAGCAAAGGTATGTTGATTTCATATTTTGTATTCCAATATTCTGTAAACAAACTAATGATCATTTGGCATCACTTGTAATTTATACAATTCAGTTATCATCTATAATACCGAATTGGATAAAGAACTTGTGCATAGAGAAATCCTGTACGAATGAAATACATACGGATAATCTTAATCTACAATATCATGAAAACAATGGTTTTGTTACAAACAGATTAAAATTTTACGCTTCTGTATTAATTTCTCTAAGTAATTATAGTTGGTAAACAATTTACGGGACCACTTTCTTCTTGGAATGAAAACATACAAAATGGCCGCTACATACTACTTACTAGGTAGCCTGATAACGATAGTTGATAACTGGTGTAGTGTTTTCGACACGTTATACGGAAAATAAACGTGAATAGATTCAATGATATGGTTTCAAAGCAAAGTTTACAAACACATTAAACAAACACATTGTTACCCCTTATATCATAAAACTTAATGACTCGAACTGTATATTCACGATGATGAACCTACCTGATTGGATATCAATGTATATACTAAAGACGCCATTTTAGCGCCAAGTAATATTAACAAAAATGTAATTATAGGAAAATATTTGGTGGAGTGCCCTGGTAGATCTGTTATTCAAGAAAGTAAGCATGTTCTGCTTCATCCATTGCACCCGTCGTGTAGTTGATGATTCGGTTTTCAGTGAACTGCTCGAAATATAACAATATTTCGCTCAAACATAACATAGTTTTAATAGAAACAGACCGCTTTAGGCTGTGCGCGTTTTTCATAGTCAACATCGAGAACAAATAAGAAAATATGCTATTTTTTAACCTTTTACATCCTTCGGTACACTATTGTGAATTTGTGTAGGTTCATATTACACCATGGGTATGTAAGCAGGTTTTATCATTGTATAGACCTGCCTACAGTATGAGTGTTGTGTCTTTGCTAACTGCTCCCTTGGTGTGATTTGACTTTGTGAACTATGGGACCGGTGTAGTTTCAGTTTTTATTACAACCCTAAATACATCTGTTTTGTCATAATCAATTTCAATACATTATGTACGTGATGTCGTTAACAACTACCGTTCTCATTGCTTATTTCATCATACCTGATTAATTGTTTATGTAAATACTACAGATGGCATGCAAGCCACTGTGTAATATTTACAAAAAATAAGTGAAAAGTGAACACAGGAATACAATACTCAAGGTCCACCGTCGACCAGCTCTACATAATTTCGGTGATAGATTTGGAATGCTAATAAACTTACGATCAGTTTGGCAGATAAACATTGGTAAAGACCAGGAGCAGTTTACATAGCCACCGTTGTAATCTAATGAGGAAATATTCTAAATACATCATCGTGTAAGCTATGCGTCTTGTTTCATTCTCTATTACATCCATCTTTAAATCATAGGCCTTTATTTACTGCACTCCTGATTACAATGGGCCTGCTGTTCATTTTTCATTAGAACCCTCTGTATACTGTTGAGAATATGATTAGTTTCATCATTCACTGCACCCTTGACCACTGTATGGGTGTTGTATCTTCAATAACTACGCCATCGGGGAAATATGGCATTGTTTCGTGTACCTGGTTTAACTATGGGTGTTTCGTTTTTATTTCGTCCCGTACTTTGTTTGTTATACATCTGTCAAAATTACATATGTTTAGTTATAATTATTTTTACTCTGAGTACATAGCGTTCGTAATGTCGTTAACAACCGCCTTTCTAAGCGTTTATTTCACCCTTGTGTCGCAATAAAAAAGGCGAAATACACATTCTTACAGCACAATTAAAAATAAGCATTAGTTTCTCCCCAAGTTGACAGATACACTTCACATCCGGATGGGGAACGATTTATTTGTCTTACTTTTATGCAAAGAAGTAGGGATCATTCCACCGCTCCCTCCCCATCCCCTGTCATAACATATGATTGGCGTGCTGCTGCTGAGGGATTTCTGCGTTTTATCTATATTAAGATTACTTCGTCATATTGACTAAATCCGGTGTCAACCGGTTTGATTTCACAAAGCTAATACCTCGCTTGTCCACCGTTTGCCTGAATGCAAGCAAGCCTGGCACACACACATAGAGCCTATCAGACGGTTCAAGAATTATTTTGGGATGGCATTCCAGATCTGTAACAACGCTGTAGCGAAATCAGCCAACGTCACCGGTTGATAAGGTAATGCCCGTAATCTGCCCTTTATTTCATCCCAGACGTGTTCAATGGGCGACAGATCGGGGGATCAGCAGGCCAGGGCAACACGTCAACGTTCTGCTGGGCCAGAAAGTCCATAGCGACACGAGCTGTTTGTGACCTGGTGTTGTCCTGCTGTAGCGTAATGTGACGTTGCTGCCCCTGCACGTATGGAACGACGTGGGTCCGGAGGATCTCGTCACGGTAACGTAGCGCGTTCAAATTCACTGTTAACAACCACCAGAGGCGTTCTCCCGTTGGCTGTGATGCCGCCCCAAATCATAACACTGCCTCCGCCGAAATAACGTCGTTGTACCACACACGCGACGATACACTCTGGAACGTCACTACTATCCAGGTGGACTCGCGACTCGTCCGTAAACAAAATGCCTGCCCAATCCCGTCGAGTAAATCGCAGATGCCTTCTGCACCAGTCCAGACGTGCTACACGATGACGTGGCAGAAGAACTGGGTGGATTGCAGGACGTTCCGGACGGATAGCTCGTTCACGCAATCGGTTCCGTACAGTTCTCGGGCTTATTGGTAGCAACCCAGGGATTGTTCGTGCAGTCAAACTTGCCGTTTGGAAGCGATTTCTCAAATGGACAAGCCGAATATGGTTTTCCTGTTGACGTGACGTCACACGTGGACGTCCCGCACGAGGTCGATCGCCGACGTGGCCAAACTGTTGATGTCGTCTCCACAAATCCCGGATTGCGTTTCGATGGACATGAACAAGTGTAGAGACAACGGCTTGGCCCATACCAGCTTGAAGCATACCAATAATCCGGAGGCGGTCACTTTCATTGAGCCTCGGCATAGCATTAATCACAAATGAAAACGTTATCATGCTGTTTTTACTGTTCACTGGTCTCAACAGTTGAAAAATAAACTTTCATTGTCGAGTTGGATTGCTGGACGAGAAAAACGTGCAAACTGGTCAACGCCTATAGAGAGCATGTATTCATGATAAGTGTGATTATAGGGCAAAAACATGATCGGGTGTATGCCAATCATCTTATATGTACATGTATATATATATATATGTGTGTGTGGGATGGGAACCTAGCCAGCCCGGCCACCTATGCCAGTTATATCCAATGCCAGTTGTGCTCGAATTACCATTCTCTGTAATTGTTTGTGTTATTGAAGGGCGGGAATCTCAGATGTTTACATTTTACTTACGACCAAAGAATTAATTGCTAGGGCTTGTCTAATAGCAAAATAGAGTTATGTAATTCGCTCTACAATTGTTTATACTTTTTGAGATGGGGATCTCAACACTTTCCCCGTTATTGCCAAGGGTAAAAAGTGGTTTGCCAAAAGCATACTGGTATTAGTAAACTATATATATAGTAACAGATTGGCTGGCGACCGTATGCCCTGATTGTTTCGGGTAGCATTATCTAATTCGTCTCTCCATACCCAGCATGTTATAGGGTGTTAATCTAATCTGTTTCTACGTTATGTAGGGACTAATTTTATTTTGTGGGCGATGAGGACAAGGTAGGACCCTGATACCTTTGTATCCTCGTGGATCAGGTGTTTTTGTGTTTTTATGTTCGGCAATTGTACATATGATTAAACTTGTCATTTGTTGACCAGCTTTTGGTAATTAGCTTCTAAGTTTGTACTATCTAAATTTGATTAAGGAATATCCAATATTAAAGGATATTTAATGTTAACATACTTCCAACCAAATTTTGCCTATATTCATTGCATAGTGTCAGAAAACAAGTGGCTCAAACAGATGAATCCTATATCCTCCCCAAGACCCCTGAAATTCGATCCTTCCGTTTGTATGTTTGTTTAACAATCACGTAAAATGTTTCCAATTAAATATAATTGACGGCTTTGAACCGACTCTTACTGTTACAATATATACAAGTCAGGACGGGATCAATATGACAGCAAAAATAATTCTTGGTTTGGTTTGAAGTTTTTGTTTGTGTAAAGCTACGTCCTATCAATACTATGATAATTTAACGTTGTGCCGGGATTTGGTTGTGGATGAACTCCGGAGAAACCCCCCAGACATGCGACAGCTCCACGTTGGCACGTCAACTTATATCTTGTTGGTCATGATCCGCCTTCTTCATGGGTCAATCACTGTAATTGTTTAGTTTTGAATTCTAATCACTCAATGACATTTTCAGACAAATTTGGTGAAACTCTTTTCAGCATTTCATTTGAGGAAGTTCTTAACACAGAATCGGACTGACGATAACAAATATTATAGGGTCATTAATCAGCTAATTCCATATTGGCCAAGTTATTAGGCAAATTATGTCATATTGGCCCAAGGCCGCAGGCCGAGGGTCAATGTGACAGACCAAGGCCTAATAACTTGGCCAATGTAGAATTAGCTGATTAATGACATTTTTTTAATTAGCTTATTGTATATTATTGGCAATAATCGTAAATGAACAAAAGTAAACTGATTAAATTAACACATTTAATAACAATTATTTCAAAATATTGTTCAGTTGATTACTTCATGTGAACTAGACATGGACTTATTGTACTTCGCTTTTACGCGTTTGTTAGGTACTACATTGATATGTATGGTACCTCCTGAGATATGTACACCACTGAATAGGTGAAAGGACAGACTACCTTGTAGAATTCGCCATTTAGTACTACTGACATATCATTTAACAATATTTGGCTTTACTCGCTTAACACTCTATATCTAGTAGTGTCATGCATTAAACCGCTAGTTTGTCTTCGCCTTTTTTGGAGCTGTCGGATACTCGCTCCATGGTTTGTTGTCTTCTGCCGTTGTCAATGAAGCGTTA